TGTGAAGGTTGACAGAGGTAGCCTGTTCTGGGGCTGGAGGAGTCCATCTGGCCAAGCAACAGGTGGGGGAGGTGTATAATGGCCTTTAAAGGCCTTGGCAGTTTGGGGCATCGTGAGGCCAGGAAAAACAGCTGTGTTCTGCTTTGTCTTGTTGAGGAAGGGCAGATGTGCCGGAGAGGAAGACTGTTTCCACGGGCAGTGCCAGAAGCAGGGCCACCACCAGCTCAGTCTGGTTCCAGCAGGAGAGGGAGCCTGGCAGCCAAGAAAGGCTGGGGCTGTGTCACCTGCAGGAACACTGCAAAGGCCTCGCCCAGGGTGGAGGTGGTGGTGGTGACACAAACCCTGGACTCCATGACCGGCTGAGGCCCGAGGATAGGCCAGGCTGGCCTGGCTCTGAGATTCTTGGTGTGGGGTCCTGGGACCCAGTTCCACTCTGAGGAGACCCAGATTACACTCACCAGCTCTAATCTGGGCCTTGACCTGTGTATGGGCTGCTTGCAGTGTGTGAGCCATTATCGAGTCCTGGATTCTCCACATAAAGCATTAAACAGTGATGACCTATTTGGCAAAATGCGGATGCTGACTGGGTTCGATAGTATGAAAGTATCAATGTTGTGGTTTTGTACCTAGTCATGTTTTGGAGATGTGTACTGAGATCTGTACAGGTGAAACCTAAATGGGTTTCTTTCAGAGTTATCCAGGTAGCTGCTGAAGATGAAGCAGGCCTGGCTGTGACTTGCGAACAGTCCAGGTAGAGGATGTGGAGTTCACTTCATTCCTCTCTGTGTTTGAAATCTAAAAAAGCAAATGCTAGTCTTTGGCTAATACAGGTCCTGAACCACAGAGCCTTGTAAGTCATAGTTAGAAATCACAAGGCATTTTGAACTGTGCTGTGTCAATCCCTTGTTACATTTTGAAGCAGGAAATCTATTTGTTGCTTTTTGCCTAGAGCAGGAAAATACATGAACTGGAAAGAAATAATGCCTTGAGTTTGTGGGAAAACAAACTGTGAATACACCTGAGCTCCTCTGTCACAATCCTGGGAAGAAGCCAACCCAATGAAGAGGCAAAGCCAAAACCCAAAGAAAGCAAAGCCAGGTGTTTGGCGTAGCTAGAAGTCAGTGGTACTTTGAGAAGGGTTTCTCCTCACCAAGATTCCCTGACAGGAAGGCCCTTGGCACAGGTGAAAGCTGAAACTTGGTTGAAATACAGGAGTGGTGTAGCTACCAACATGACTGGACCTACTGTGTCCCTGAGTCACACATGTACAGAGAGACTCTTGTCACCGGACACTTGATATTGGTTGTGCTGGCACCTACCCCATGGCACCTCTGTCTCTTACTTGCAAGCCACAAAAAGAAGAGGTTTACTGACAATGTCTCCAGCTGTTGGAGAAGGAGACAGGAGCCATCATATGCTGGTGGGAGAGTCCATGGGACTCTACGAAGCCACGTGTTTGGCAGGCCACCTCCCAGACTCCAGAGCAGAAATCAGGTATCTTTTTCAACAAAGTGGTCTAAACAGAACCAGTCGTCCTCCAGGTGAGCTGGGAAGCTGGGTGGGTACATTCTGAATCGCAGCAAACAATCTTCCTCTTTCTTGGAAGGGAAACAATACACGAGGGGTTTGAAGTGAGTGTCTGCTTCCCGTAGACAAAGAAAGAGCAAGTGGGACTCGGGAGTGAGAGCCCTGATGTGAGGGGCTGCTCCATGTCAGGCGCTGTAGGAAATACTGGGGCAAATAGTCCTTGCTTCCAAGGAGAGCGTGGGAGAGGGAGGAAACAGGCGCACAACTCTTCTAGAACATATTGAAAGGGAAGGACACAGAACTTCTATGATCCAAGCAAGGTAACTGTTAGTAAGCCAAGCTCTGACTTTGGACAAATCACTTAACTCCAATCTCTCATCTATAAAGTGGGCCATGTCTTGTCTTGCTTATGTCAGAGTTGTAGAGTTCTGAGGATTAAAACTACTGAAATAAACTAGCAACCATCATGACACCACTGACAAGTGGTGGCGAAGAAGAGGTAGGAGGAAGGATAGAAAGACTGTCCTTCCAGCCCCTCCTGCCATAAGAGCTTGCGGCTGGTGCCCCGGGAGCTCCCCGGCCAGCACTGGGGCAGGTTCTTGATTCAGACGCCTGTCCACAGATGTCTGCCCACTCCCCAGCCAGCCCAGGTGCGACAGCACCCTGTGCCCTTGTTTCTGAAGCTGATTCCCACCAGGCACCTGGTCACAGCACGGGTGCTCCTTGGCACGAGCAACTCTCAACTCGTTCAAACTCGCCTGGCACTGAGGGTGAAGATACTTAGTCCTGACAATCTACTAAATCTCAGATGGGGAAAGCCCAAGGGACCTTCTGGAATATACCACAGTGTTCAACTGTCCCACATGTGCCACAGGCTGGGAACCTGACTTGCACAGGGTACTTCCCAGAGGTGGTGGGACAGCTGGTGCTGGAATCTGGTTTACTAAATTCTCCTAGTCCAATAAAGCTGCTTCTCTTTCCAACGAATATTTTGCCAATACCAACCTTCCTGCCTTTAATATCCGTAGTCTTTCCTGCTTCCAAATGCCTAATTTGGCCCTACCTTCTAAGAAACAATTTATTGGCCCTGTCATCCAACAAACAGTATGTGGGGCACAATTAAGAAGAAATGCTCCTCCCACAAGTGTTTTCTCGGGTTCTGTTCTGTTGGGTTCACTAAATCCTCGTAGGCATGTGCCCCTGTTCATAGCCTGGGCTTGGAGAGATGGAAATAGCTCTCGTACCAGCGTCTACAGAGCCCACTTGGACCTCCCCCCTGGAGAAAGCAAGCCCTTCCAGCCTAGCTGCTATAAGGTGTGTGTGTGTGAGAGGAGTCTCTCTGCTGCGTCTCTTGGCTTCCTGAGTGTTCTATTCATGCCCGACTGCAGCTTCCGCCATCCTGGCTCTGGGCCCGAGCAGTGTTGTGCGCATAGGACAGATGGCTGGCAGCCTCATTCAGAAAGGCCTGCCACCCCACATAGGTCCCTCCTGACCCCTGAGGCTAGTGTGATGTCTACTGTGGCTTCTTCAGGCTCCCTGCTGCCCCTCAAGTTGGGTTTTGCTCTTCCAGTGGACTGTGGCTCTGCAGTACCAGCTGATTGCTTTATCATCCAGCCAGCACTCTCTTGGGCCACCATCTGGGCATAGCTGACTTGGTTTAAATGCAGAGCTTTGAGGCCTTGACTATAGCACTCACAAGAAAAAAAAAAAAAAACTGGCCCTGTGGAGATAGCTTAGTGGACTAAACACCTGCCTGGCAAGCACAAGGATCTGGGTTCAATCCTTGGTTCCACATGTGGCACCAGCCACACCTTGGGTACCCTGAGCTAGCCACCAGGACCAGGAGTGGTGGTACATACCAGTAATACCAGCGCTGGGGAGGCTGAAACAGGAGGATCACTATGAGTCTGAGCTATGTAGTGAGACCCTGTGCCAAATACATAAGAAAGGGGGGGAGGAGAGAGAGAGAGAGAGAGAGAGAGAGAGAGAGAGAGAGAGAGAGAGA